GCGCCGCGATAGCGGCCCCCCCAGCCGCTATTGACTACTATGCCTGGTATCAGAGTTCCCGTCTTGGGTAACTTTCTGTTGGTGCTTGACTGGCATTAGGATAGTAGTATTATTTTTGGATGACTCTGTATGCAAAGTATATATTGTGTACATAAATATTTATTATCTCTTCTTATATATGTATATTCTGTTATCCAACTTAATATTTTATTTTAGTTCACTAGATTATTAGTGCGATTCCACAAAGTGTAAGGACCACGACGGGTCGTAACAATATTAACTATTTAGTATTTACTATCTTAAAACCATTAAAAATGGAGGTATTCACATATCACAAAAATCTTTAAAGCTAATAAAAAATTAATAAAGTAGAATAAAGAAAATTATACCTCGTCTCTACCATTTGCATAAGACCAGGTAATACTTTTTTTCTTCAACTGTGGTCCATATCCGGTAGATAATGCTAACTGTCGAAAAATTTCTGGCCAGGTCAATAGATTTAAATGCTTATGCCAATTTCGTATGTCAAAACCCCATGCATATGCCTGGCATAAAAAATGCAATGTTACAAGACTAGACGTCGTTAAATAAAATGGCTATTTCTCTTGAGGGAAAATAGAAAGAAAATGGCATAAATACATTTTTCGTCCCTTATATTATTTATTAGTGTCAATTTAGTCTCACTTTAATTAATTGAATCAATTTAGTCTCACATCTTTAAAATGTATCTTAATGTTTGATTTTCCATTTCTTCCGTTTAAATACTTAACGGATTTGACACGTGTCATATTGTTATGCCATGTGTCATGTTGTCATGTCACATGTCATGTCATCATGTCACGTGTCATGATGTCCGACCATGTGACATGATAACATGACATGTGGCATGACATATGTCATATTCGTTAAGTATTTAAACGGAGGAGACGAAAAATCAAACATTGAAATACATTTTAAAGACATGAGACTAAATTGATTCAATTAATTAAAGTGAGACTAAATTGAATTAAATAAATAATATAAGGGGCAAAAAGTATATTTTTGCCATAGAAAATTATAGAAGTCCTTCAACTTACGCCTTCCACAATCTTTGGATGGCCACCTCCAAAGTTAGTAGCACCATTCTGATTCATTCCTAATCTTGTAGAAGGCGTCCTTGCAACATCTTGAATGTCTTTTATTATCACCTTGAGAAGAGCAACATGTATCTCACCTAACAATCTTGAATCCTGAGTTAAAATGATTTTAACACCCAGAATGAGCTAGAGTGCACAAAAATAGTTAAATTGATAGCATGAAATCACTAGAATAGTCCATATTGACTCACATAGTCGTGAAATGCTTGAACAAACTCATCTATAGTAAAAGGCCACAATTCCAGAACATCAGCAAAAGTAATCAAAAATCTCCAAACCTGAAACAGACCAGTACAACTTTCAAACCTTAAATTCAAAAGCCTTAGAAGCAATTATATAAAATAAGACGGGAATCGTACATCAACAGAACTGCTGATTCAACAAATAATGTTGCACACACTAAAAAGATAGAAGGAAAAGAACCTTTCAACTATAGAATTTAGAAAGAAAATGCCCAATGCACCATTTCTTAATGCAATATTAAATTTGATTAAAGACAAAATTCAGAAAAGACCAAAGGAAAATATTCAGGTTTACCTGATCTTAATCTAACATACATGCAACATTAACCATAACAACCTTAAGTCCTTAACTATTTATTGAAGTAGACACAAAAGCATTAATCTTCAATTTCAAATCATAGTAGACTGAAAAGATAGATCACTATTAGGACCAGAGAAGAATAAAGATGTTAACAACATACCATGAAAAGATTGCCGACATTTTTTTCTGAGTTGATCCAGGGTTTGATTGCAAATGGTTTTCTTAGCATTACACTCTCTGGCGGGAAAACACTCAAAGAATCTACAATATGTAAATAAGGGTTCAGTACTAATAGAAACTCATTCCATTTTTCTAGTTTCCAAACAAATACTGAACACCTAACGAGACCAACTATATAAACTCAAAAACAACAAAACAAAAATAAATTGCTCACCCCTAAATGATTCGAGGTGTTGCAGAGTATCAAAATCAAGATGGATAATAGAAGAAATCCCCTTGCTTGAGGCAGCCAACTCCATCATTTCTAGCTGTTCATCCTCAAAAAGTTCTATAGATTCCCTAGCTATTCTACGAGCAGTTGCCTTCTCAAGAGCAGTTTTCCTTCTCTCTTCTTCTTTCTCTTTGCGAAGCTGTTCTCTTTGCCTCATTTTCTCTGCCTATTTAGACAAAATATGTGAAGATGAATTAAATATTCTCAAAAGTCTAAATATTGATCAAAAGGCGATCAGCATTAGGCTTACACACTTTTAAATTTTCTTTCAGCAAAACCTTTTCCCTTTTCTCAATTTCACGTCTTGCTTTTTCCTCCTCTCGCAATCTCTCCCGCATCAACCTCTCTTCTTCCTTCCTTCTTTCAAGATCTTTTCTCTCCATTTCTTTTCTTGTTCGCTCTTCAATCTAAAACAAAAAAAAGGGAAAAAGAAATATTAGATAAAAGAATATGAATGTGATCCAATCGTAAACCCTATAAAAGAATTGTAATAACAAGCTAAACTGAATTCATTTCAACTAAACCTTTCGTCTAAGGTTATCTTGTTTCTCAAGCTCTTTCCGGATTTTCATCTCGTGGGCTTCAACATCCCGAGCATCACCACTCTACATAAATATAGTTAAAATTATAAAATCGTCCTTTAAAAAGAATATATAAAATAATTCAAGAAATTGAACATAGAGCAAAATTACAACATTAATTACTAAAGATTGCTCAAATATACCTTTCGTTTCTTTTCAATCCGCATTGCACTGTTGTGCAAAACTTGTCCACTTGGTAGAGCATTGAGATTTTCTGGCTCAACAATTTGGCGATTAGTAAAGTGAGAGTGCATTCCGACATTAGCTCTATTTTGGTACATTTCCCTTTGGGCCGCAACATCATTATCCTGAGAAGGAGATTGATGGGGAATCAATTGCTTGTCTTGTTGGGACAAAAGACGAGCACGAGAAGAATGGCCTTGAGTTGCATGAAATTTAGGTATATGCTCATTTCCATGCACAAAAGGAGGATTTCTAGTAGAACCTTCCATTGGATCATGTAAATGAGATTGGTTGCAATGTCCAAAAGCATCAGACCTGATGCTAGATTGTTTTGGTAGAAATTGATGGTCACGAGATGTCCTTGCCATAGCCTAGAATGGAGCTCAATTTAAAATCAAAGCTAAAAAATAAAGCAACTAAGCAGTAAAAAAAATCACCATTCGCCATCTGTACAAATAATATGAACAAATAATAACAACAGGTTTTCCATATCCTCAAATTGTAAAGGAAAACACAGACAAAAGATTATTTGTATCAAAAGAGTATTTATAAACTAAAATGATAATCAGCACATACATCAAGACTAGACAAACGGCAGTCAAACTAAACATAAATATATATTGAATAAGCAAGCACACACGAAAATCTGCTGATAAAGAAAACACCAAAATCTAGACATTCTATTTTTTAAAAAAAAAAAAGCAATGAAAGCTTAGGCTACCTCCATCCTTACCACCAGTGTCCTTCCATTCCATTGTACAAGATTAACATCTAAATAAAAGATATTTGATAAATAAAAGTACATATTCATCAAAACCAAAATAGAAATTCAAGTATCTTGTTTCAACCTAAAACTACCAGTCGATTATTTAGCAAGTACCATCAGAACTAAATGAATACACACCCATACACTGACATGTACAAGCTTTAAAATAGGTACCCAATTAGCATAGCTATCTTCAACATTCCAAATTTGTGATCAATAAGCAGAGCAAGACAAGTTTCATTTTATTGATCAAGATTACATTGTCATATAAGAAAGAAAACCAACCTTATTTGTTTTAACATCACGTCTTTCATGTATTTTATTGTCATAGACAAAACTAGGTGGCTTCTGCTGTTCTGTAACTGCTGCTCCAAAAAGGAAACATACAAGTGTCAGTAGCAAAACAAAGTGTATGTAGCAATCACAAACAACTTCTACCTATTGCTTCTACCAATTTATTTAAATTACAAAGTAACAACCGTAGAGATGGAAAGCAAAGCCACATATGGAAAAGTTACCCAGATGAAATATAAAGCACATTTATGTCAGAATTTTTCATAAAGCCCATGGAGAAGCAAAGAAAGCAAGATAAAGCGATTCAAGCATGTAATATTAAATTAGGACCTAAGAAATGTATGACACAACATACAATATAAAAGAAACAACAGCATTCAGTTAACACAATAAGTTAAGATAGGATGACAAGTTTCTATGATCGTATATATACCTAAAGGTGCCCCAAAGGCATCTAGTGGCAATGGATCAAACTCCACTCCTAGAATTGGACCATCTTCCCTCAATGGCTCCCCTAACTGTGCCTCAACATAAGCAATTGCTCTAAGCTCCATCATAGTGTGTGGGGACTCATAATAACCATTCACACCCCGGGAAACCACATTCAAGGGCTCCACTCGAGTATATAGGCTAGACCTTGAATCTGACCCAGATCCATACTCATTACCAGGCTCAGGGCCCAACCTGGGGTCATGTGTTGGAGAATCTGGCAAAGGCTCTACTGGCAGCTTCCGCAGTGGTGGCGGTTTCTTGGTTGGCAATTCCTTCCTATCCTTCAATCTTCGATGGCAGAACCACATCTGAAGCTGTCGATCTGACAACCCCAATTTCTCAAATAACTCTGCCCTCATAGTTTCCGAAGGGTAATTATCCACTAATCAACCAAAAAATCACAAGATTAATCCCCAACCCCTCAACATAAAACAGAAACACCCCCTCCCCAATTCTAAAATTATTGCAAAAATTTCAAAACAAAAGGAAAAACACAAGAAAATTGAAATTTGTGAAATTCAAGAAATATAGGATGAAGGAATGAACCAGCATAAGCTTTCTCGAGGGTCTCAAGTTGAAAAGGGGTTTTCATATGGCGCTTGGGCTTGCTCTGCTCCTCATTAGAATTCACAATCTTGATACTGCTTCCATTGTTGTTGTTGTTGTTATTCTCATTACTATCATCATCTATGCCACCCCTTTTCCGATTATTCTCTCCCTCTAAACAACCCTCGTCCTCCATTGGCGAAAATGGATCAAAGATCGAGACTTTCCTGCCCCCGCTTCACAAAACCCTAGAAATTACAGAATCTCCAAAAGAACAAGCACCCGAAATTAGGGTTCCCTAGGAAAATCAATTTTTGTTCTTCCTCCAATTCCTTTATGTCTTTCTCTCTCTCGATCAAACCAAATTACGTAATTGTGAAGGAATGAAAAGTCATAAGGGATGAAAATAATTAAAACTATAAATAAAGGAAGAGAAAATTATAAAAGTTGTGTGCAACGAGGATTGAATAGAAGAACAATGAAGAAGAACAAAAGAATCGAGGACAAAAGAAAACAATAGTAAGAATATTAATAATCTTAAAACAAAAATAATAAACCAACAACAGTTTCTCTTGACTGCTACTCTTACTATAATTCCACCCCCACCTTTCATGATAATTCTATTTTTTTCAAATTTGTTTCTGGTTCGAATAATAATCCGTTATCTTTTTATGTTTTTTAGGTTCTCTTTATTATGAATGAACGGTTTCAGCATGAGTGTGTGTTTGTTGTTCCTGTCAAACAGGACTTAACAAGGATATAAAAACAAAAACAAATCACGCCAAAGATAACAAAATATGCCTTTCTTTTTCTTTTGTTTAGATTAGATAATAACATTTTTATCTTAAATTTTCTTTTGCTTAGATTTGTGTCTTACATTTTTTGGGTTATTTTTTATTTTTGCTAAATGTAGAACTATATAAGAAGAAAAACACAAAATGTTTGTTGTGAGTCTGTGTGTGTGTTTTGGTCTCTACAGTGTATTAATTTTGATGAGCTTTTTCCAGAAGTTTTTGTCTGGGGTTTCTTATTTTTTTTTTTGAATTTTTATCTTGGTGTTTATTTTGTTCATAAATAAAATGTAATAATCTGGTGTGTGTGATTTTTGGTTTACAAAAGAGGGAAAGGAATGAATTATGAGTTGCTTGCTGACTCTGCTTGGTTTGGTTCTTTAAAGTTGTTTGGTTCTTTCCACCATGGCAGCCTCCCCCGCACGGCCCTCTCCTCCCTCCCCCTTACCCTCTCTCCTACTTCTCTCATTTCCCACCCTTCTCCTCCCCCTTCCCTGTAAGTTTTTTCTTTTAGTTTTTATAATTTATTTATTTAGTTATTAATTTATTTATGTTTTTATTAATTTTGTGTGTTATTTTGCAAGTTAGGAAACACATACATTATTTCTCCATCTATTTTGCAAATTGGTTACAAGTAAGTATATATATAATTTTAATTTTTTAAATGCATTATATATTTTAAATTTAAGTAATGTATATGTATAAACTAGATATGGACCCGTAGAATTTGCAGACAAAAAGAGGGTAAATTATCTAAATTTAAAAATATATTATTTTATCATTTAATTAATGTGATAGTTTTAAATAAAATTTCTTTTAACTATGTTAGTGGTAGAAAATTGAATATATATCAAATATTAAATTATAAACTCATAATGTATGTGTAAGTTATATTTTCAAGTATTCTAAACTAGTATTATTTATCTTAGTATTATTATTTTCAAAACTTATCTTTTATTTAGTATCTTATACTTTTCATTAATGAATAAACAAATTAAAATATAAATAAATATATATATATAATATTTGTATAATTTGTAATGTCTTTGTAGTAGTTAACATTAAGTTTTGTATAAATAAAATCACAAGTTAATAAAATTGAAGGTTTTCTTTACATAATATAATTTTTTTGGAAAAAAAATTTACAATTTCACATAACTAAAATGAATATGATTCAAGAGAGAAGATAAAAGGAGTATTAAAAATGTTTTTAGATATCTATCAATAACTCTTTTTAAGACTAATGTAATTTTTTTAAGTAATAAATAGGTTTTCTTTACAGTCATTTGTCTTGTAATTACTTATTTTTATTTTTATTTTATTTTAATATTTTTAATAATTTATCTTTATAAATTTTTCTATATTTTTATATTATTTTTATATTTTTTAATTTTTATCTTAATATACCATCTATTATAATTAGATAGCTTAATATTAATATTTTATTAATACGTTTTAGTTTTTCTTTGTTTATAATATAAATTAGTTTTTCAATTGTATTATTTATTATTGTTTTTTTATTTTAATGTTTTTATAATATTATTATAAGTTTTAATTTTTAACTTTTTTAATTCTATTACACATAAATAAAATTTATTATGAAAATTGACTTTTTTGATTATTATTTTTTAATTAATCTTTTTTATTGATTTATTTTATACAAATTTTTAATCTAAAATTAATATTATTTTGAATTTATTTTTTAAAAATTATTTATTTATATAATTTAAAGTACTAAAACCTTTCAATTTTTATGAGTACCGTTCTCGTTAATTAATTATGATGTGTGTGGTGGTTTTTTTTTTGGTACATGAACGGGGTTATAAACCCAAACTAAAAACCTCTAAAAAATGCAACAGCCGACAAATCAGCAAGCAAAGCAAAATGGATCCAAGAAGGAGGATCGGAGAATATAACAATTCTATTCTGCAAACTACGTCCATGTTTGGCTAAGAGATCCGCAACTTGATTTGCTTCTCGAAATATATGGGAACAAGACACCTCGTGGTCATCACCCACAATGTGGACTATTTTGTTTACCAAAGAGAGAGGGAATGGAATTAATTGCTTGCTGAATGCTGACTTACATCGAATTAGTTCTTTAAATTTGTTTTTTCATTTTCGGCTGAGGTTCGGTTTTGTTGATTTTCAGTGATTTGGGATGTCTTTATGTTTTTTGTGGGTCCCATTTGTTGACTAGAACCACATAAGTTGTGAATTGGGCTTCCTTTGAGCCTTTCGTCATTGTAGACTCGAACCAGCATGATTCATAAGATAGGATAGTCCAATTTATGGTGAAATCTACCGTCAATCCAAATATGGATTAACAGTTAGACTTGCTCAGACATAAATACAACCTACGATTTAGTCTATTTTAAATTTAATTTCATGTCACCTATTAATAAAAAGAGGAGGGTTCAAACGATACCAGTATAACTTTTATTAAGTGTTATACCGCTTAATAACTTTATATTAAATGTGAATTTTGAAAATATAACTGTTAGATTGAAAGTTCATATCTCTTACATCATATATATCAAATTTTATATTAATCTAAAATGATTTGATACTTCATTCTTATAAAATAAAATTGACGTAATATATACATTTCAAAATATACTAAAATATGAACACTTTGATTACCTTCAAGTTGTTGTTCAATTTTAACAAAATCTGACATACATGATCTAAGAGATATGAACTTTCAATTTAATCATTAAATTTTCAAAATTCACATTTAATATAAAATTATTAAGCGGTATAACACTTAGTAAAAGTTATACCGGTGTCATTTGAACCCTCACCAGTGTAACTTTTACTAAGTGTTACACCGTTCCCAAAAAGTAATATTTCTGTGATAATGTGCTAGTTTATATATTTATAAACAAAAGGATTTATAATAAATAAATATTTTTATTATATAAATTATATTAAAATTATGTTTTAGATTGGATAATAAGAATCCGTACTGTGCTAATATCCATGAAATTTTGTGTGTAAATGTCTAAACCGAATCTTCTCTTCAACGATTAATTCCCCTCTTTCGTGTTTATTCTTTACAGATGCTTATTACTTGTTAGGCAAAACCAATTCTCATCCCTCGGATCCACTCACTACATCAGAACAAATAAAAGCAATATAATCATAAGGTCCACAACATCAAGGTGTCACCAAATGGAAAACTCTATGTTTAAAGACATGTTCTATTTGATGAATCTCTTCTTCCATTAAAGTCTCCCACCAACCTTTCACTTCCACATCAATCTATCCCTCTCAATTCCTCTCTCCTTTTCCCTAATTATTCTACATCCCACCCCAAGGAATGTCTCTCATCTTGATTCTCAAATGTGAGCCAGCAACTGTTCAGATTTTTCTGTCTTGCTTTTTCCTCTTACTGGCCTGCCTTTCCACCAAATTGATGCTAACAATTGTTTTTTGTTTTTCGAATGACCAACGAGAACACGTCTACATGGCTCAACCTTCAAATTTTATCATTAGTTCCTAAACCAACCCCTATGATAATTGTGTCCTTAGCTATCTACTCATGGTTGAACTCCAGTGCCTAACCCCTCATTGCCAATTCATACATTCCTCTCAAGAACACTATTGCAAAGCAGTCAAGATAATCTTACACTTAATTGCTATTCATTTTGTTAGTTGCTTACCTGTCATTGTAACATTTGTCTATATAATGCTGGGAACCCCATTGATTCCATTAATGCAATTAGTATAGTTTTTTACCTCAAATTCATTTTCTCAAATCAATTAATTTCTTCCCTCTGCCACGGCCATGATAAACTTTTTAACATGATTGCCTCACCTAGTAGACTGAAGAAAAGAGTAATTGACACAGTAATCTTAAAATGAACATAGAAATGCAGCTACCAACTGCAGTTGATTGCTGACCGTTTTTACAGCTTTCATAATAGTTTCAATAGCTCTTTATGGAAATGAAGGATACATCATTTTAAGTCAACACGAGAAGACTGCGAATCAGCAGCTAGCAAGGCATTGTTTTCTGAATGAACAAGAGAGAAAAGGAAGAAAAAGAAAAAGAAATTGACAAAAAAGAAAGAAAAATAAAAACGCGCTATCACAAGGATAGTACAATACTGAACCAGTCACTCAATTATTTTGAAGGAAATTTGTGGTGATTTACAGTGCAAGACATCCTCCAGGTTCATGACTTTCTGGTTACGCTGCTTTCGCTTGCTGACAAGAAAAACAAAGAGAATTGTTTCATCAGTTAATTGTATTTGCGTATTGTTATATATGTGGAATATAGATACTTTGAAGACCATGGTAAGGTTAAAAAAAATCCACTCAAAAGAACATTTCATTAATCTTACCCAAGAAAAAGGTGCACTACAATAAAAAAAAAATGGTAAAATTTGAACACACTCTTTGATGAAATTTACTGAAATTACAAGTAATTAAGCTTTACTTTTATTTAATAAGCCTCCTCATAATTTTGTAGTTTCTAATAATTGAGTGTAATAAAGAATGTGTTAGTAGCCTCTGAAAAGTATATATGTAGTGGTGACTCATAAATCATCTATGCAGAAAGTGGTACATGTTTGCGGTAACTTTTTCAACCAATTTAATATGCAGTTGTGGTACAAATAAATTGAAACAAGACTCACTCGCTTCTCTTCCTCCATCTTGGCTTTGATGAACGAGTAAAGTGCCACTCCAGCAATTGCAATGGCTGTTCCAATACCAGTTTGGGTGCTAATCTTGTTACCTGTGTGAAGCAATTAGCCAGTCAGAATGTTTAGATGAGTTTTTCTTGAAGTAATAAATAAATTCTCTTGGAAAGTTTAAAGTTTAATAGTAGCAAGGAAGATTAACGATATTTACCGAAGACTATAATTGAAAATCCAATCACAAATACACGTTTCAGTACGTTCCCAACTGCATGAGTGAGAGGAGCCACTCTCTCCAGTGTGTTAGTAGC